AGAGACGGTCTAGAAGTACCTTCAGGGTCTGTATCTTCTAGACTGTAAGGGTGCTTTGTACTGAAAAGAATTTATCACCCTGACTCAATCTAGTCAACTTTAAAACAATGGGTGAATTTGAGTTCTGAAGGACTTCGCTTAATGACAGTTCTCTCTAAGATATGTCATCTCTCTGCATAGCAAACAGGCTACTAGTTCCAGTTTCTTGGAAAAAAAATTCTTAATCTCTGAAGGAAGCTTGTTCATAATGACACGTGCCTGCAGATGGGGAGGGGGGTGAGGTCAAGAAATTCTACTGTTCCTCCCTATCCACCCGCCTACGAGTTCCCTCCTGATTTGCTGACAAGTTTGCTGCTGATGACTCATTCATTTCCTTTTGCTGGACCTAGTCACACCGTCCTAGGCCTTAAAACAAGGCAGAAAACAGATTGCAGCTTGCATTAGTAAGAAAAAATATTCACTGCTAAGACTAAACTCCCAATTTAAAAATACAGCAAGAGAGAATAAAAAATAAAAGCAGCGTCAGGAGTTCCAAGACGACGCTTTTCTCAGCGCGGCTCTGTTCTCGCATTGAAACTTCAGTGAAGACTGGAATAGCTCATCTTTCCTTCCAGAATTTGGGTGAGGTCAAATAATTTATAACCAACACCAAATACATAGAAGAGAACATCTTATTAGCTAATCCAACGCTGGGAAATGAACAGATACTCAGTTTGGGTTTTCAAAGAAAATTAGGTACATCCTTTTGCTAAAGAGAAATGCTGTTTCAATTTGCACTTTTTTAAGCAGTTTAACCACATCCATTTGTACTCAAAACCAGTTCACAGGGGAGCATTTGAATGCTGTTTAAGTCATGTCCCCAGTTTATTTCAACTAGGGCCCCTAAAAATAAAAATGCCTTAAAACAGCCCAAAGCAATGGTCCACCTAATGAAGAGCAGTAAGGAGTTCAAAATTATCCATGTTAGCAATCCCCAGAGCTATGTTTAAATTGCAAAAACCCAGTAGTTACCTTTGATACAACTAACTGAAGTTTTGTCAAAGTGTGGGAGCCCGACGGTTTTAACAGCCCATTACAACATAAGGATGCCGAGATGTTTGAACTGCACGAAGTGCCACATTTTGCAGATAGCAAAAGCTCCATGTCCATTTCCTTTGGCAACACAAATTGGTATTGCTCGTAAGACGTAAAATGACAAGTCTCTCAAATTAGTGATACTAACTGATCACGTGGACAGGCAGCTTAATGACAGCTTTGCACAATTAAGAGAATTATTCAGAAAAGTCACAGGAAGAAAAAACTCAGCTCATTTTGATGAACTTAGGATAACTTTCTAGTACATCTAGAAAATGTAACTGGAGAGAGGAAAGACCTAGAGCCACATTCAATCTAAGACCAGAAACTTCCATTTACAGTTCGGTTAAGCTGAGGAGGCAACTGTTAACACCGAGGACGTGCAACAATAATTATTCCAAACTCTCTGTATGACAGGCTGCAAAGAACAGCACGGTTTAGTATAGAAAGGATGGAAACAAGAGGTGAGGACAGAAGTAGCCAGTCCTCTCTACTCATACAATTGTAACGCACAAATACACACATCCAATGAAACTAATGAGAAACCTGTCATGCGCCCCACACCACAATTTAATCACAGAGTTCATTAACCACAAGATGATATGGAAGGCAAAGATAACTGGGCTTAAATGAAGGATTAGACATAAAAATCAGGATATGTAAACACTCACGCTTCAGGCCGTAAACTGTTAACTGACGGGGATAGAAAAACCTCCATGCTTGGGATAGTTAATTAATTGTGTGCTGTAATATTCTTTCCAACCTGCTCTGAAGCATCTGGCAGTGGTCACTATCAGTCAGGATGCTTGCTGAGAGAGATATCTGGTCTAATCTACCACCCGCACGTTGTGTGTCAAAAAACAAGTCACCCGGTTCTGCAGGTGCTCGCATGCACGTCCGGTGACAGGATCGTAGAAAACGAGGTTGGGAGGGACCGCAGGAGGTCACATCCCGTCTAACCCCCTGCTCAAAGCAGGGCCGGCCCCAACTACATCATCCCGGCCAAGACTTGTCTAGCCGGGTCTTAAACCCCTCCAAGGATAGAGAGTCCGTCCCCTCTCTGGGTGGCCTGCTCCAGCGCTTCACCACCCTCCTCGTGAGAAAACACTTCCTAACATCCAACCTCAACCTCCCTTGCTGCACCGTGAGCCCATGGCTCCTCGTCCTGTCGTCTGCCACCGAGCCCAGCTCCATCCTCTCTTAACCCCCTTCGGGGAGTCGAAGGCTGCTACGAAACCCCCTCCGACAATAACGGCGACACCGAGACGCCGAACCTTCGACGGGCAAATAAGCTGCCGACTCGATCCCGCTAAGACAGGTCGTGCCCGCAGCTGAAGTTGGACAATGCCCGCAACTAAAGCTTGGACACGCACCAAGGCGGGCAAAGCTCGTGAATAAAAACGTGGACGTGCATAAAGGTGGGCAAAGCTCGCGCAGAAAGCGTGGGAATACATCAAGGTGGGCAAAGTATAAAGCTGGCACATGAAGCGTCTCCCCCCGCCTGCCGGGCCTAGCACACAACTGACTGCTCGCTCGCTCT